TTTGCTTTTCAGATTTTTGTAGCTTAAACTTAAACACAAAAATCTAAAAATATTGTGATGAGCGTGTCTTGTTTTACTATAAAACCATGCTCTTATATATTGCTTCATATTTATAGCAAAATTTCTATTATCATTTGTTTTCTGTCATTGCATTTGTGTTATTTAATGCTCTTATCTATTGTAGTTTGATTTTATTTGAAATTTGGTGTGTCCTTGTTATCTTAGGGTCACTTAGCTAGTTCAACCTAGTTGGTGTATGTGTAGTGCTGGTCCTTTTGATCTTGAACCAAACGACACTAAGTTATGAAGAACTATAAAAAATCTAGAAAAGTAAAAGGAATTCAAAAAAGAATTAGAAGTGTTGACACATATACCTCAGGATGAACCCAATGTTCACATACCTCAAGAAATGCCTAGACCACTTAGGGAATTTGCAAACCCCACCGTAGATGAAATCTATTTAAACATCAATATCCTTATCAAGGAAACCAACTCATTTGAACTGAAACCCACCATCATTTAGATGGTTCAAAATATTAGTTTGGGGGACACATAAGGAAGATCTTAATCTCCATTTAGTGAGCTTCCTATAACTTTGCATTACATTTTGCTATAATGGTGTCTCCAATGATGTTGTTAAGCTTAGACTCTTCCCTTTCTACCTAAGGGAAAAGGCTAAAATGTGGATTAATTCCCTAGCTCTTAGGTCTATCACCTCATGGAATGAATTGGCCTACAGGTTCTTAGCTAAATATTTCCCACCATACATAAAGGACAAACTTAGGAGAGACATTACCTCTTTTAGCCAATTTGATTAGGAATTCATTTACAAAGCTTGGGAAAGGTTTAATGAACTCCTTAGGATGTGTCCTTACCCCACATTATCATACTGGTTAATTATTCAGACATTTTACAATAGTTTTGTAGGATCTATTTGATCTATCATAGATGTCACAATAGGTGGTTCTCTCATGTACAAACGTTAAGAAGAGACCTATTCATTAATTGAAGAGATGACAACTAATAAGTTTTAATAGTCATCTAATAGAACGAACCTTAAAAAGGTGGCCATCCTTCATAACATAGATGTTCTATCAATCTTGGCAACATAAGTTGAGACTATCTCTAAGAAGTAATATCACTTATGTTTGAATCCACCACCAAGATCACTAGTCATAAAAGAGAATGCTAATGGACAACAACTTAATTTTAGTGCATTTCCATAGAGGCTATGAATCTCATAAGTAATAGGTTCAATAACATGTACTCCAATACCTCTAACCCTAGTTAGAAGAACCACTCGAACATTAATTAGAAAAAAAGTAGCCTATATGGAGGAACCCAACAAATAACCCAGCTAATCCAACATGGAATTGGAGTAATTAGAGTGGTGTCAACCCTACGCAGACTTACCCTTCAAGATTCTATTCAAACTCTCAATTTAAGGAAAAGAAACTAACATTGAAAAAATTTGTGTTGTAGAGGAGGAAACAACTGTATAATAAAGCTGCAACTATAAGGAACATAAAAAACCAACTATGCTAAATAAAAAATTCCTCAAGTAATATGCCTCAAGGAACTCTTACTGGCAACACTGAAGTAAACTCGAAGGAGAAGGAAATTGAACATGTTAAGGGTATTAAGCTAAGGAGTGGGAGAGAATTATAAGAAGTTAATAGGAGGGAGTCCATAAAAGAAATCATCTATCCTGAACCTGAAAGACTTATTGAAAACCCTATACAGGACTTACGAAAGATTTGAATCACCTCTTAGGATTGACCTTTAAAAACCAACACCGTCATTTCCTCGAAGTCTTCAAAAACAAAATTTTGATCAAAAATTTTTTAGATTCTTAGAAGTGTTTAAGAAGCTAACTACCAACATTCCTTTTACCAAAGCCTTGAAGTAGATGCGCAGTTATGTGAAGTATTTGAAGGATAACCTTAAAAATAAAAGAAAGCTAGGAGAGTTTAAGACTATATTACTTAATGAGGAGTATAATGTTATTATTCAGAAGTCGCTTCGTTAAAAACTCAAGGACAAGGTAGTTTTACCATCTATTGTGCCATAGAAGAGAGAATTTTCAGTGTTGAATTGAGAAATGTGTTAGTTTATGGTGACTGAGAGAATTATTTTGGGGCAAAAAGTTTCTTAGAGGGGGATAGAAGTAGATCAAGTAAAAATTAAGGTGATAAAGAAACTTCACCCACCCACTTCTATGAGGGTAGTTAGGAGCAGTTAAGGTCATGCTAGGTTCTATAGACTTTACATTAGAGACTTCTAAGATCGTCAAACCCCTTTGCCCCTTGTTAGAAAAATATGTCCCTTTTCTCTTTGATAAGGATTTTCACATTGCCTTTGAGACTTTAAAGGCTAAATTAGTCACATCTCCCATTATAGTTGCACCTGATTGGGAGAGTCCTTTTGAGCTTATGTGTAATGCTAGTGATTATGCAATATGGGCGATGTTCTGGCAGAAGAGAGAAAAGATTTTTTAAGTGATATATCATAATAGCAAGACCCTTAATGAGGCTCAAGTGAATTACACTACCATATCAAAGGAACTTCTAGCAATAATATATGCATTCGGTACCAAGTGCACTGTTTTCATTGACCACACTACGATTCCATATCTTATAGCTAAAATGGATGCAAAGCCTAGTTTGATATGTTGGATGGTTCTTTTGTTACAAGAATTTGATATCAAAGTAGTGAAAAGGAAAAGACCTAAGAATCAGATAGCTACCATTTATCTAGACTCGATCATGGGGTTTGTACTATTTTTTATGCTGAAATTAATTAGAATTTTCTTGATGAGCAAGTCTTTGCTATTTCTAATGAGAATATGTCTTGGTATGCAGACATGGTAAACTTTATTGTTAATGATATTTTATCATATGATTTGACATGTCATCAAAGAAAAAATTTATATTTGAAGTCAGATTTTATTATTAAGATGGCACATATCTTTATATGAGGTGTAAGGTTCAAATCATTAGAAATTTCTCTATTTAGAAGAAGATGTAATTAGAAGATGTCATGATTCTAAATATAAAGGGCATTTTGGAAGATATAGGATAGCGACCATGATTCTTAAATATGGATTTTATTCGTCTGAATGATTGTATTAAATATTGTGGGATTTAGGGATGTGAATGATTATATTAAATATTGTGATAGGTATTAGAGAGTAAAAAATATTTCAAAAAGATATGAAACGCCCTTAAATTACACCTTTAAAGTGAAAATTTTCGATGTTTAGGGTTTGTATTTCATGGGATCTTTTGTACCTTTGCTAGAAAACCCTTACATTTTATTGTAGCTCTCCCAAATCGTAATGCTCGGAGCTTTTCTAAATTTCTTAAAAAGAATATTTTAAATAAGTTTGGGGAACCTACGGTGATTATCAGTGATGGTGAGAATTATTTTAGGAATAGAAAAAGAATGAGAATCTAGTAAAAAAATATATATAATTAAACGTAAATTTTCCAATGTCTATCATCCTCAAACTAGTGGATTACCTGAAGCGTCAAACAGGCAAATAAAAAGAATCCTTGAAAAAACTATTAATTCCAATAAAAATGATCGATTCCTGAGACAAGATGATGCAGTTTGGGCATTCAAGACTATCTATATTTGAAATGTTTCGCTCAATGTTTTCCTCATTATTTCTTAAATCTTGATCTTATATTATTAGATAGTCAATTTGAAAATTTTCTAAGTGATATGAGATCTAATGATGCATTTTCAAGGTTGAAAGGAATTGTAGAACTTGCAAGAATAAAAAAAAGATGGCGACTAAAAGGAATAATATTTATGTAGTTGCATCTTTACTTGTGAAACTTATATTGATTTTATGAATTGCTACAATAATAGTTGAACGGGCTTCTTCAAGCAAGAAAATTGTCAAGAATTTCCCAAAATATAGGATGGAATGTCTACATTTCAGATTGTCATTTCATTTGGTTGGCATTTCTTTTTTTCCCATCAGTGAAAATATTTCTTATTTTCAAATAATGAAGAATTTTTAAATCCGGCAACAAACATTGTTATTTAATCTGCCTTTTTAGACCAATACCTTTTGGAGGAAAAGTAACAAATATGATTCAAATGTAATTATATTGTTAGGTATGGCTCATATACCAGAAATTTGGAGTTTTTTGGATTTGGAAAGTTGTGTCTCCTGAAATGAAGAGGTATGTCTCTTGGTGTGAAGAGGTGTTTCTTGGATTAGTGGGTTGGGGGAGTTAGAGAGTTTTATTTATAAATAGATGTGTAACCTTATCGGTATGCAACTTCTCTAAAATAGTGAAATTTGCCGCTCTGCTCCAGAGAATGTAGGCATCTTTGTTGAACTTCGTTAAATCTTTGTTCTTCTTCTCGATTTGAGTTGTTCACACTAAATTTCACAAAAATTATATATAGTACCAATTTCTTTTAGGTAACATTAATTTATTTTTATTGCAAATGTTAATTAATAAATGTTTTTTATAGGCTCGACTGGTCAATTAAATAGAATAATTTATGAACATGATGGCTTGTTGCCGTGCAAGCACTGTTGTTTATTAAAATAAGGTTCTTTTATATATATTAATATTACCGAGAACCCTCTATGAAGCAACCTTTCCATAATTTTCGCCATACAAAATATGTAAATTCTTTTACATTTATAATAACACAAACTTGTCCATCCTTTAGATCTAATGCATGCTAGGAGATTCGCGACAGCAGAATAAATGATTTTTGTATTAGTGTAGTACGAAAATTCGTCACGCACTCAGAAAGAAGTAAGGAAATCGTGATGACACTATGAATTTTTTACGTGGAAAACCTAAAAAGAGAAAAAACCACTGGGCAATGCTCAGTTGAAATATTTCACTATGAGTTAGCGATTACAGGCACAACCTCTTGTCCCACAAACGGAAAAGGGTTTCAGAATTTCTCAGTTTGCAACGTTCTGCACACAGGTGAACCCATGCTAGAGAGTGGGCGACAACGGCATGAGACGGCGGCTGTTGGACGATGATGACCCTAGACAGCAACAGTCGGAGAGCGGCGATGGCCAAAAGGCGGCAGTGGTGGAAAGGCGACGACAACCGGAAGGTGGTGACTGTGGTCGGATGGTGTTGGCTGCGACCGGAGGGCGGCGGCCCAAGGGCAGAGACAGCGACAGTCGGAGAGCGGCGATGGCCAAAAGGCAGCAGTGGTGGAAAGGCGACGACAACCGGAAGGTGGTGACTGTGGTCGGATGGGGTTGGGTGCGAGCGGGGGGTGGGGGGTGTGGCACTACGGCTAGAAGGCGGCGGCCTGAGGCAATGGCAGTCGAAGGGAGATGATGCGCCTTAAAGTTACTTATTTTATATGCATATTTTATACTTATTTTTTAGGATATTATGCTTTAATGAAAGGTATTTTTTGTGTTTTTAGTTGCAGCTGCAAGAAAAATAGTTTAAGAGCAAAAAGAAGCAAAAACACATCAAAAAGACGCAAAATGGGCTAAATCAAGACAATTGTCAAAACAACCGAACTGAAGCCTAGGCACCAAATGGAATTCGCGGTTGGCGCCTAGGCCCATCAGTTTGGCACCAGAGACGGTTACACTTATATTCATTGAATATGGACGAATTTTGAAAAGCAGTCAGAAGCAAGTCTCAGTGATTTTTGAAGCTCTATATATTGAGAATAATTTTGGAAGAAATGGGGGAGTCTTAGAGTCGTTTTGAGAAAATGAGGAACCGATATAGAGTGGGAGACCACCCTAGTAAGGTTTTGTGAGTCATTGTGATTTTTGGAGTATTGTGAGTTTGTTAAGAGCTTTGTGGAGTCAGATAAGTCAGGAAACTTCAGAGGAGTGCTTGGGGAAACATTTGAGATCAGTATTGGTATTTTTTTCTTTTGTATGTTGGATTTGAGTTTTATAAATAAGTTTCGTTTTGATATCCCCATGAATTCTTAATAGTTTTCCTCTTTCTCCTTGCAATAAGAAGAAATTATGTGTTGGATTTGATTTGTATAGAACTTCTTTTATTCTAAAAATTTGTGATAGTATTTTCATCGGTTCTTTATTTACTTTGCAAACTGACCGTTCGTTTTGTTAAAACTTGTTGAGAAAGTTACAGACCTGAAAGGGCAAAAATTTCTCTAACTAGTGAGTACCACATTTTACTTAAAAAGAGTCATGGTGACCGTCCAAGGAGAAGTGCAAATAGGAAGGGATGTAAGATTTGATGGACGTAAAATTGATGTTTCTAGGGTGACAGACTAGATTATGTTATCAATTTGGTCTAGAGTTGGAACTAAGGGTCACTAGTAGGTACTATAGAGAAGGCACGGTGGGTAATCAAGAGATAAGAGGCTAGAACATACTCAACACTACTATACATGCTAACACCAACTTTAGATTAGTCATTGTTCTTTATGCTCGAAAGAGGTAAATAATATGTTTGCTCATATTTGTCACAATACATCAGTTAAACTTCTAAACATATGCAATCCTACACTGATTATGAATTATTTGCAAGAGAATGTCTCTTTACATATATTGAATTTTCTAGTTTTTGTTATTTTTGAAACCCAACATTTACTTTTAAGTTGTACTTGTAGGAATTAATAAAGCTTAAATTTTCACTTTAATTACTTTTTATTTTCATAAAATATATTTTACTATTTAAAGTAAAGGTCTTTCTTAGTCAAATACATATAGCTATCAGCTATCCTCGTGGAATCGATACTAGGGTTTTTAAGAAAAATCCTACATTACTTGAAATGATACGTATACTTGCGTCGTACTATTAGTGTGAAAGTTTGTCATATAATTTTTAGATTATTTCATCTATTTACACTAGCCGTTAAATATAATTTGGGTTAAGTTTTTTGTAATTTGTTGGAGTAAAAATATTTGCGTAATTGCTGGTCGGGTCAAGTTTTTTGACACTGTTGTCGGGGATTATAACGAATTTTTTTTACTTAAGAAACTTTATCTGAGCTGTAGATTTATTTTACGAAAATTAAAAAATGATTTTAGCACTTTATCCGAAAAATTAATATGCAAAAACTAAAAATATAAAATATTTTTTTAGATATTTTAAGTAGTTTATTTTCTGAATTTTAGTTTTTGCATGCGTAATTTGGAATTTGATGGTTTAGTACCCTACGATTCTAAATTAGAATGAACAATAAGAATAATTCGAAAACAATAAGGCCTTCACAATTTACAAGAGATAACAAACACTTCACATAACAATTTTGAATCAAAGCGCTGAAAATGAACATCAAAATGTACAGAAAATTTTATGGGAATATGCAAACTCAACAGTAGATGAAATTCATTTAAACATACAAACCCCTGCTGTGGCGGCTAACTCGTTCGAACTAAAACATGCTATTATACAAATAGTGCAAAATAATCAGATTAGGGAACACCATCTAATGATCCAAATTTACATCTAACAATTTTTTTAGAACTGTGTGCTACATTTAAATATGATGACATTTCAAACGATGCTGTTAGACTTAGACTTTTCCTTTTTCATTAAGTGATAAAGCTATGATGTGGTTAAATTCACTAGCACTTAGATCTATTAGAACTTGGGGGATTTAACATAAGAATTCCTGGCTAAGTACTTTCCTCCTTAAAAAATGTCTAAGCTTAGAAAAGATATACTGATATTATTTCTTTTACTTAACATGGAGGAGAGTCAATATACAAAGTTTGGAAAATATTTAAGGAACTCCTCAGAAAATGTCCACATCATGCATTTCCAGATTGGTTAACCATTCAAACATATTATAAATGGTTAGTAGGATCACTTATATCTATAATTGATGCTGCTACTTGAGGTTCATTAATGTTTAAACCATTTGATGAAGTGTATGCTTTAAATGAAGAGATGACTACAAACAATTTTCAATGGTTCTCAGAAATGGTAAATTCTAAGAAAATAATCAGTATTCATGATAATGATGTTATTTTAATTGTTGCATCTCAAGTTATTGCATTATCTAAGAAAATTGATCAAATTGGAATGAATTTTTTCTCAAATACCTCAAGTGATCGAATAAAATTTATTAGGACAAATGATTGATTCTCAAACTTTATTAGAAACTATAAATATTATTAATAGACTCAATAGCTCATATTCAAAAATTTTCATCTTAATTTTAACCGGAATAACAATTCTAATGATGAAAGTGAACAATCAAGTAAACTCATTGGGAAATTGGAACAATCAGGGTAGTTCTAGCAATAGACTTTCTTATCCTCCTAGCTTTAATAACCAACAATTTAAGGAAAAGAAGTTATCGATAGAATAAGTGGTGTTATAAATGGGTTATTAATTACAAAGTTAAAGTGCTGTTATTTGAAATATTGAGAATCAACTGGGACAAATTGCTAACACACTTTGTAATAGACCCCAGAGAACACTTCCCAGTAATGTTGAGATAAATTTGAAAGACAAAAGTAGAGAACAAGAGCAAGTTAAAGTTGTCCAACTTTGGAGTGGAAAGTAATTAAATGTTAGAGTTCAAAAAGAAATTGAAGTTGAGAGAGAAATTGAAGAAACTAAAAAAGCTAAGGAAACTATTTCTAAGGAAGTTGAAACACCCATTTCTCCAACTAAAATTAATTTAGAGAAACCATCACTTCTTTTTTCCTCGAAGACTTAGACAACAAAAGTTAGATCAACAATTTTCAAGAATTTTCAAGATATTTAAGAAGCTTACAATTAACATTTCTTTTGCAGAAGCTTTAGAACAAATGCCTAGTTATGTCCATTTTATGAAAGAAATTTTAAACAAAAAAAGAAGTTCGAAGATTATGAGACTATTGCACTTAGTGAAGAATGTAATGCAATAATTCAAAAAAAGCTTCCTCAAAAGCTTAAAGACCCTGATAGCTTCACCATACTAATGACAATTGGAGAAAAAATTTTGTGGAAAAACCTTATGTGATTTAGGAGCAAGCATTAATCTCATGTCATTATCTGTCTTTAGAAGGTTAGACTTTGGAGAGATTTCTCTCGCTAATGTAACCATTCAGTTAGCTGATCGATCTATTACTTATCCTAAAGGGTTATAGAAGATGAACTTGTTAAGGTGGATAAATTTATCTTCCCTAATGATTTCATTGTGTTAGACATAGAAGAAGATAAAGAAATTCTTATTATTTTGGGGAGACCTTTCCTTGCAACCGAACGTGCAATGATAGATGTGCAAAAAGGAGAACTAACAATGAGAGTTAATGACCATGAGAGTTAATGACCAAGAAAGAGTTAATGACCAAGAAGTTACATTTAATGTGCTTAAAATAATGAAGTACCCCGATAAAGGAAAGAACGGGAAATGCTTTAGAATTAAAATTATTTATTATAAGATTGTTAATTATTTTCAAAAAAGATGTGATGTCATATCAGATTAAAAAGAAGAAGTCATATCAAATCAGGAAGAGTTGAAGAACAAAATTGAGAGTGATTTAGAGGATAAATCAAATGTTATAAACACTGAGGATTCAAATTATGTTCAGAAAAATTGATACTACTAGAATAGCAAACCCCTGATTCCTTTTATTGAAAAACCTCCTGAACTTGAGATGAAAGTTCTCCCTACTCATTTAAAATATGCATTTTTTTGGAACTCATCAACTTTACCAATAATTATATCCTCGGATTTAACTGTAAAATAAAAAGAAAAATTATTGGATACTTTGCGAAGTTATAAAAAAATCTTTGGGTGGACATTAGTTGATATTAAAGGAATCAGTTATTCAATCTGTATGCACAGAATTTTAATAGAAGATAATCATAAACCTAGGGAAAATACTCAAAGAAGATTAGATCCAATTATGAAAGATGTAGTGAAGAAAGAAATTTTAAAGTGGTTAGATGTGAGAATTATTTATCCAATTTAAGATGGTTCTTGGGTTAGTTCTATTCACTATCCTCCTAAAAAAGGAGTAACAGTAGCTGTTAATGAAATGAATGATTTAATTCCAACAAGACAAGTTACTGGATGACAAATTTGTATTGATTATAGAAAATTAAATTTTGCCACTAGGAAAGATCAGTTTCCTTTACCTTTTCTAGACCAAATGTTGGATAGACTAGCTGAGCACCACTATTTCGCTTTATGGATGGATATTTTGGGTACCACCAAATATCTATCACTCCAGAGGATCAAGAAAAGACGACATTTATCAGTTTTTATGGGACTTTTGCTTTTAGAAGAATGTATTTTGGTTAATGCAACGTACTTGCAACTTTTCAAATGTGTATGATGTCTATTTTTTTGCGACTTAATTGAGAAAGGAATAGAA